GTTCAGGATAACAGAGTCGAGGATAACAGAGTTGAGGATAACAGAGTCCAGGATAACAAGAATCGAGGGTAACAGAGTCCAGGGATAACAGAGTCGAGAATAACAGAGTCGAGGATAACAGAGTGGAGGATAACAGAGTCGAGGATAACAGAGTCCAGGATAACAGAGTCGAGGATAACAGAGTTCAGCATAACAGAATCGAGGGTAACAGAGTCCAGGATAAGAGAGTCGAGGATAACAGGGTCCAGGATAACAGAGTCTAGGATAACAGTGTCGAGGATAACAGAGTTGAGGATAACAGAGTTCAGCATAACAGAGTCCAGGATAACAGAGTTCAGCATAACAGAGTCCAGGATAACAGAGTCCAGGATAACAGAGTCCAGGATAACAGAGTTCAGCATAACAGAATCGAGGGTAACAGAGTCCAGGATAAGAGAGTCAAGGGTAACAGAGTCCAGGATAACTGAGTCCAGGATAACAGAGTCCAGGATAACAGAGTGGAGGATAACAGAGTGGAGGATAACAGAGTCGAGGATAACAGAGTCGAGAATAACAGAGTCGAGGATAACAGATTCGAGGATAACAGAGTCGAGGATAACAGATTCGAGGATAACAGAGTCGAGGATAACAGATTCGAGGATAACAGAGTCGAGGATAACAGAGTCGAGGATAACAGAGTCGAGGATAACAGAGTTCAGCATAACAGAATCGAGGGTAACAGAGTCCAGGATAAGAGAGTCAAGGGTAACAGAGTCCAGGATAACAGAGTCGAGGATAACAGAGTGGAGGATAACAGAGTGGAGGATAACAGAGTGGAGGATAACAGAGTTCAGCATAACAGAGTCCAGGATAACAGAGTTCAGCATAACAGAGTCCAGGATAACAGAGTCCAGGATAACAGAGTTCAGCATAACAGAATCGAGGGTAACAGAGTCCAGGATAAGAGAGTCAAGGGTAACAGAGTCCAGGATAACAGAGTCCAGGATAACAGAATCGAGGGTAACAGAGTCCAGGATAACAGAGTCGAGGATAACAGAGTCGAGGTTAACAGAGTCGAGGATAACAGAGTCGAGGATAACAGAGTGGAGGATAACAGAGTGGAGGATAACAGAGTGGAGGATAACAGGGTCGAGGATAACAGAGTCGAGGATAACAGAGTTGAGGATAACAGAGTCGAGGATAACAGAGTGGAGGATAACAGAGTGAAGGATAACAAAGTGGAGGATAACAGGGTCGAGGATAACAGAGTGGAGGATAACAGAGTGGAGGATAACAGAGTGGAGGATAACAGAGTCGAGGATAACAGAGTCGAGGATAACAGAGTCGAGGATAACAGAGTGGAGGATAACAGAGTGGAGGATAACAGAGTGAAGGATAACAGAGTGGAGGATAACAGGGTCGAGGATAACAGAGTGGAGGATAACAGAGTGGAGGATAACAGAGTCGAGGATAACAGAGTGGAGGATAACAGAGTCCAGGATAACAGAGTCCAGGATAACAGAGTCGAGGATAACAGAGTCCAGGATAACAGAGTCCAGGATAACAGAGTCCAGGATAACAGAGTCGAGGATAACAGAGTGGAGGATAACAGAGTCGAGGATAACAGAGTCGAGGATAACAGAGTTGAGGATAACAGAGTCGAGGATAACAGAGTTCAGCATAACAGAATCGAGGGTAACAGAGTCCAGGATAAGAGAGTCAAGGGTAACAGAGTCCAGGATAACAGAGTCCAGGATAACAGTGTCGAGGATAACAGAGTGGAGGATAACAGAGTTGAGGATATCAGAGTTCAGCATAACAGAGTCCAGGATAACAGAGTGGAGGATAACAGAGTGGAGGATAACAGAGTTGAGGATAACAGAGTCGAGGATAACAGAGTGGAGGATAACAGAGTGGAGGATAACAGAGTGGAGGATAACAGAGTGGAGGATAACAGAGTGAAGGATAACAGAGTGGAGGGTAACAGAGTGGAGGATAACAGAGTGGAGGATAACAGAGTGGAGGATAACAGAGTTCAGCATAACAGAATCGAGGGTAACAGAGTCCAGGATAAGAGAGTCAAGGGTAACAGAGTCCAGGATAACAGAGTGGAGGATAACAGAGTCCAGGATAACAGAGTCGAGGATAACAGAGTGGAGGATAACAGAGTCCAGGATAACAGAGTGGAGGATAACAGAGTGGAGGATAACAGAGTGGAGGATAACAGAGTTCAGCATAACAGAATCGAGGGTAACAGAGTCCAGGATAAGAGAGTCAAGGGTAACAGAGTCCAGGATAACAGAGTGGAGGATAACAGAGTCCAGGATAACAGAGTCGAGGATAACAGAGTGGAGGATAACAGAGTCCAGGATAACAGAGTGGAGGATAACAGAGTGGAGGATAACAGAGTGGAGGATAACAGAGTGCAGCATAACAGAGTCGAGGATAACAGAGTCCAGGATAACAGAGTCCAGGATAACAGAGTCCAGGATAACAGAGTCGAGGGTAACAGAGTCCAGGATAACAGAGTCGAGGATAACAGAGTCGAGGATAACAGAGTGGAGGATAACAGAGTCGAGGATAACAGAGTGGAGGATAACAGAGTCGAGGATAACAGAGTGGAGGATAACAGAGTTCAGCATAACAGAGTCGAGGATAACAGAGTCCAGGATAACAGAGTGGAGGATAACAGAGTCGAGGATAACAGAGTGGAGGATAACAGAGTCCAGGATAACAGAGTCCAGGATAACAGAGTCGAGGATAACAGAGTCGAGGATAACAGAGTGGAGGATAACAGAGTCCAGGATAACAGAGTGGAGGATAACAGAGTGGAGGATAACAGAGTCGAGGATAACAGAGTTGAGGATAACAGAGTTGAGGATATCAGAGTTCAGCATAACAGAGTCCAGGATAACAGAGTGGAGGATAACAGAGTGGAGGATAACAGAGTCGAGGATAACAGAGTTGAGGATAACAGAGTCCAGGATAACAGAGTGGAGGATAACAGAGTCCAGGATAACAGAGTGGAGGATAACAGAGTTCAGCATAACAGAATCGAGGGTAACAGAGTCCAGGATAACAGAGTGGAGGATAACAGAGTCGAGGATAACAGAGTGGAGGATAACAGAGTCCAGGATAACAGAGTCAAGGATAACAGAGTCGAGGATAACAGAGTCGAGGATAACAGAGTGGAGGATAACAGAGTCCAGGATAACAGAGTTGAGGATAACAGAGTGGAGGATAACAGAGTCCAGGATAACAGAGTGGAGGATAACAGAGTGGAGGATAGCAGAGTGGAGGATAACAGAGTTCAGCATAACAGAATCGAGGGTAACAGAGTCCAGGATAACAGAGTGGAGGATAACAGAGTCGAGGATAACAGAGTGGAGGATAACAGAGTCCAGGATAACAGAGTGGAGGATAGCAGAGTGGAGGATAACAGAGTTCAGCATAACAGAATCGAGGGTAACAGAGTCCAGGATAAGAGAGTCAAGGATAACAGAGTCCAGGATAACAGAATCGAGGGTAACAGAGTCCAGGATAAGAGAGTCGAGGGTAACAGGGTCCAGGATAACAGAGTTGAGGATAACAGAGTTCAGCATAACAGAGTCCAGGATAACAGAGTTCAGCATAACAGAGTCCAGGATAACAGAGTCCAGGATAACAGAGTCCAGGATAACAGAGTTCAGCATAACAGAATCGAGGGTAACAGAGTCCAGGATAAGAGAGTCAAGGGTAACAGAGTCCAGGATAACTGAGTCCAGGATAACAGAGTCGAGGATAACAGAGTCCAGGATAACAGAGTCGAGGATAACAGAGTCCAGGATAATAGAGTGGAGGATAACAGAGTGGAGGATAACAGAGTCGAGGATAACAGAGTCGAGGATAACAGAGTGGAGGATAACAGAGTGGAGGATAACAGAGTCGAGGATAACAGAGTCCAGGATAACAGAGTCGAGGATAACAGAGTGGAGGATAACAGAGTCCAGGATAACAGAGTGGAAGATAACAGAGTCCAGGATAACAGAGTTGAGGATAACAGAGTCGAGGATAACAGAGTGGAGGATAACAGAGTCGAGGATAACAGAGTGGAGGATAACAGGGTGGAGGATAACAGAGTCGAGGATGACAGAGTCGAGGTTAACAGGGTTAATAACAGTTCAGAGTTGACGTTTTCTTCATTGGCAGACACAGACCAATGTTTATCATTTGTTTCTTTAACTCACTAAACACAGAAAAGATGAAGATTAGTCTCAGACTGAAGATAACTGAAGCTGGATGTGTGATTCAGGCGGTGGACACAGTCAGGAATAGAGGACTGGAGAGTTCAGTTGATTTATCTTAAGCAACAGTTCTGCTCAGTGTACATGGGTCTACGAACGTCGTTGAGCAAGTGTTACCGCAGTAAGTGAGAACTCACTGTGTGTGTGTGTGTGTGTGTGTGTGTGTGTGTGTGTGTGTGTGTGTGTGTGTGTGTGTGTGTGTGTTTACAGTGCTGGAGTCACGTGTTTGACGTCAGACGCCTCAGTGAGTTTGTTCTGCATGTTCAGCATCCTGTCAGAAGAAGAAGATCAGAAGACGAACACAGAGGAAAACACTGAAGAAAACACACACACACACACACAGACTGAGGATGGTAAGAGCTGGTCGTCGTCTGATGTCTCCAGCGCTGAATCTGATCTCAGAATCCGCAGCTGCTGAAACACTTTCTGATCTGACTTCGTTAAAACAGGAAGAAGAGAATGTCAGCCATGAGCTGCACTTCCTGTGCTGTGCTGAAACTCACTGCTGTTTCTCTGTGTGTGTGTGTGTGTGTGTGTGTGTGTAGTCGAGCGCTCTGGTTGTGTGTGAGGTGGACGATGGCCTGCAGGAGAAGCTGAAGAAGTTCAGATTCCGCAAGGAGACCAGCAACGCCGCCATCCTGAGTGAGTGTGTGTGTCAGACTCTCATATGTGTGTGTGTGTGTTTGTGTCAGCCTCTAATGTGTGTATGCATGCCATACTCTGATAAGTGTGTGTGTGTGTCAGACTGATATGTGTTTAGGTATATCACACTCTGATGTGTGTCTGAGAGTCATATGTGTGTGTAGATGTTTGTGACACACTCAGATGTGTGTGAGTGTGAGTGCCCCAGACTCTGCTATGCGCTTTTGTTTTTTTCTCTCTCTCTCTCACCTCTGAAAAATAAATAACGACAGTTTATTCCAACACAGGGCTTGGTCAGCGCGTCCCATGATGCACATCTCAATCATTCCCATCATTATCCTATGCTGATTAGTTTAAACAAAGTGTCGACAGAGCGCATCAAGGAAAAAAAAAAGCTCTCAGGGGTACTTTCGTTTAAACCCCCTGCATGGCGCAGTGCATCCAAATGCCTCTTTATAGCCCTGTCTGCCTGCAGGAGTGAGGAAGACATGCTTGATATTATATCCCACAACCCATGTTGAGTTCTGCTGC